GAGTGGCTGGAAAACTGCAATGAAAGAGGACCTGGAGAGCTGATCAACAGCAGCTGAACATCAGCCAGAGCATGCCCAGGTGGGCAAGGAGGCCAATGGCATCCTGGTTTGGATCAGGAACAGTGTGGCCAGCAGGAGCAGGGCAGTGATTGCCCTGTGCTGTGAGGCCCATCAAGTCCAGTGTTTATGTTTGGGCCCCTCTGAGAAAGGCACTGAGGGGCTGGAGTGAGTCCAGAGAAGGGAACGGAGCTCGGGAAGGGCCTGGAGCACAAATCTGATCAGGAGTGGCTGAGGGTGTTTAACCTGAAGAAAAGGGAGACTCAGGGGGGACCTTACCACTCTCTACAACTACCTGAAAGGAGGGTGTGGAAAGATGGGTTGAACTCCACTCCCAAGGAAGAAGCGACAAAATGATAAGAAATGGCCTCAAGCTGTGCCAGGACAGCTTCAGGTTGGACATCAGAAGAATTCTGTCACTGAAAGGGTGGTTAAGCACTGGAATGGGCTGCCCAGGGAAGTGGTGGAGTCATCATCCCTGGAAGCGTTCAAGAAACAACAGGATGTGGCACTTAGTGCTACGGTTTAGTTGAGGTGGTAGTCATCAATCAAAGGTTGAACTCGGTGACACTGAAGGTCTTCTCCAACCATAATGATTCTATGATTCACCATAAAATAATATTTTACTGATACACAGTTTATGTAAAATTAGCTGCTGAATTGGATGGAAAAGAAAGCTGGCAATATCTGTCTAGCAAAGTGCACAGATCACTAAGCAAAGCATCAAACCAACAACTGGAATTAGTGGAGTACTTTCTAGCCTCTTCCAGAACCTCCCAGGGAATGGAGTCACTGTTTTGTGAAGCATGTCTAAGCTATGTAAAATCTCAGAATGCAAACATCACCGAGCTTGCACAGACCTATGAGTTCCAGGGTGCCCAGCTGTGCTGAGCCGTACGTTCAGGCACTGCTCTTTAGCTCTTCCAGCTTGGGAAGGGAGCAGTGTAGCAGCTTCCATAGGTCCCTGCACCTGGTTAGTGAATTCCGGCTCTTGGGAAGGCTTATTGGGCTGTATGCAAGGCCATGCAATGAAGCTGGACTGCCTCCATGTGTGAGCTGGTGACACGAAGCCAGGATGACACTGCCACTGCCCCGTGGCTCTGGTTTGAAGGTTACTCCAGGCACGCTGCATCCCTGCACTGGCACACGTGCAGCTCCCTTCAGAAAGGCTGCAATGAATTACTTCACTGAAGCCCATTGACATTCTCATATAAAAAAGCAATACACAGGGGCTACAAATAACAATATGATTAATAGCACTGCCTGTGTTTCAAGAAGCAGGACATTAGCTGCCAGCTACTACAACAGCAATGTAGACTTTCATCAAGTTAGGATTGAGCCTTTTAGATTCAATCACATTAAAAAGTTTAAAAATTAAAATGTATAAAGTTTCAAAGGGATTCATTAATGCAGCTGTAATGTCAGCAAAGGTTCTCCTTTTCTAATAAAACACATGAGTGCAGGGAGATTCACTTGATTCCTGCTGTGGAATTGCTAAGTTCTGCACTAGTCTGCAGCAGAAGCAGAGTTCATACAGCTTCCACCACACTACATCCTGTTTGGAGATTCCAAATGCCATCAAAATGCACATATATCAGAGAATCAGAGAGTCTTGTAGTTGGAAGACCTCTGAGATCTTCGAGCCCAACCTGTGATCAAACACCACCAGACCATGGAACTGAGTGCCACATCCAGTCTTTTCTTAACCACCTCAGAGACAGTGACTTCAACACCTCCCTGGGCAGCCCATTCCCATGTTTAACCAACCTTTATGTGACAAAATTCCTTCTGATGTCCAACCTGAAACCCCTCCCAACAGAGCTTGAGGATGAGGCCCAACCTTGCTACAACCTCCTTTCAGACAGTTGCAAAGAATAATAAGGTCTCAAGTACATTTTTAAAATATAATAAATATGTATTTTTTATTTAAATTCTCTCCTTACTCTAGAAGAGGTTCACCATCCCAATCTCCTGTGTTTCTGAGACAGAGGTTGCCACTCCTCTTCCCTCACCTGCATTGATTCCCTTAGAGAGGGTTAAAGTCCCTGACTAAACAGAAGATACTGAATGGTCTTTTCAGCAAAGTACATAATAAACACATGCCTAACATCAGGTATGCTTTACAAATCCTATCAGCTTTGCTGAGCACAAATGGATATAAATAAATGCTTGTATGCTTTTCTGAAACAGGCGTGACATGAGGACAGCACATGGGATTCTCTGATGCTGACCAGCAGCTCTGAGTGTCAACATGACACATCCAGGTAACAAAACCCAACTTGCAATCCCACCATGACCCAGGCTCCCTGGCTACTCAAGAGGCCACTGAAGGTCTCTGTGATTGCTTTCCTAGGAAAAAAGGAAATGCTGTAATTTGCCCAGGTTTTAGATTTTGCTCTAAGTCGTGATAAAGTGCCTTTTGATCAATTTTTCATGGTATGATTCACTGTATAATAGCAGGCCCCTGCACTTCTAGCTAAACAAACTTCCATTAATTTATTGATGCTATTAGTATGATATCTACCATTTTTGCTTCTCAGTCCTTTCATGGTTTCAACATGGTATTAAACTGCCCTTTTATCCTGGCATTAATATGAAACCACTTGAAGGGATATTTTTTTATTTCCTTTTCCATTCTGATTTTTCTGTCACCCCAAGGATAACATGAGCGGATAGAACCTCTGCTCTATTCAGAATTCTAATTTATGCTGAAATCATGCAGCAACCCCAAAATAAGCAATGTAAATTGTATCTGAGAGACCACTGTCAGCAGGGAGCAAACAGCAATGTGCTCTGGGAATCATGGCATCTCTCACACACCATCCCTCTGCTGCTCCAAACACTCTAACAGGGAATCTGGGTTCCACCCAAAGAGCAGCAGAACAGCAAACAAAACCCTTTTATCACATGTCCTCTAGGACTGTAAAATTGCTGCAACCTACATCTGTATTCAGTGTCTCCCTCCAAGCAATGGGAACAAAAAATATCCCAGAATATGCAGAATATTAAGAAACAGTATTTTCATCACTGGCTGTTTCATCCTTTAGCCATCAATAGGGAGAGATAAAGGAAAACAAAGAAAAAAGTAACAGCAAAGGCAGAAGGAGAAGGAAAAGAAAAAAGTGGGAAGGGGAAGAGGGGGAAGGAGGAAAACAGGCAGGTAATCCCGGATTGCACCAAAAGCTGGAATGTTGCCTCTGCCCAGGAAAAGCAATATACAGAAGCTGCCTAACAGCATGAGGCAGAAGGAAGCCCACGACAAGTCTGCTCTCATGCTGCTGCCAAACTTGGCAGAGAGCTGCATGGAGTGCAAGGTCAGCCCCAGGGGTGGAACAGAAATGCAGATGTGGTCAAGGGTGATGTAGCCTAAACCACGTGTCCCCCAACATAACCACAATGAACTGGGGGCAGAGACATCAAGCCAGCTCCAGAGGAAGGGATTTCTGCGTTTTCTCCCCACAGCCCTCTGCACACACTGAAAAACCAATTTTTCCTGTTACCATGGTACTGTTTCATCACTGGTGTCTGAGCACAGTTGTAGATATACAAGAGGAAGACACCAAATCCTAGACAGGAAGGTGAAAAAGGGACAAAAATTCAGCAGCTCATCACTGCAGAGACACAGGACTTCAGGAAAGGATTTTAAGAGCTACCACTGCCACCTGGCAGAGATAACCTCACCTGAACTCACACAGGCTGGTCCTGGGCCTGTCACCAAGTGGCAGATGATACACAGATGTCACACTGTGGATTTACACAGGAGTGTGACACTGTTCTCTGGAGTGACCAGACTGACCTTCCACTCTCTGACCTTCCACTCCAACTGTCCATTGTTTGGCTGACATTAAAGGGGTGAGGAGAGGCAATGGCACTGTGACAGCCACTCACCCATTCAGTCTGGTTTACCTGGTGATGATAACTACAGCTCCAAATATAAACACCAATTAAACTCTGACCTTTGGTAGGAGATCAAGGGAATGCTTGACATGGTCTACTGTACACCTCCACAGATCACCTACACACTATCAACCCAAGCTTTTTAATATTTCCATCACAAGATGCAAAATCTGTACACACAAGAGCCATGGTGAGGTCTTAAGGTAAGCTGAGAAAAACTCAGCTTGCTCTCCTGAGGCATCTAGAGTTGAAGTACTACAGCTGGCTCCAGGCATGTCAACAAAAGTCCCTGAAAGGCCCATTCCACTCTGCTTTTCTCCTCTAGCTGGAATGGCTGCTTTTCTGACCTTTACATTAAGCTCTATCACGGAAGCCACCACTGAAAGCAAACCATGCAAACAGGGAGAAACTGATCCTGCTCAGCACCCTGCTCAAGGGAACTTAACAGAAGCAGAGCCAAGCACACACACCACAGAGAGGGCAGGTCCTGTTAGTGGCAGCACCAGGTCAGACCAGGTTAGGATGACTGTGAAACTGCACCTCTAACTGGACAAGTGTTATCAGGCACACAAAAAAATCTCCCAAACTGACATGTTCAACACAGCGCTTCTTGACAGCCTCACAGGTCAGCAGAGTGGGATGAGGACTGCAAAAATCACAGGACCTGATGTCTTCTGGGTGTCTGCTGATAAAAGACTCTGTCTCAAGTGTTCATTTTGCTGCAAGTTATTTGTTTTATCCCTTAAAAACAAGGGTTCTGCCTTTCCATAGCCCCGCACTCTCTGCAGTCATTTACGCCTGTGTAATGTGTGAGCAGTGTGGGTGTAAACATTACTATTCTGGTTTGGTAGCATTTGCCACCCACTTTGCCTAGGTGTGAATGACTGCACAAGGTGCAAGGCAATGGTGACAGCACTGCAGGGACTGTTTTACATAGCTCTTACACCCATAGTAATACAGTACATGGGGATGGAGAGACAGCAAGAGAGCAGGAGGAAAGATGCATCAGGTATCTGCTGGAAAAGCAGCCCGACAAGAGGCCTCACCAAGCACAAGCAGCTCCACTGATTCTTCATTCTTGCCCTCCACATCATCTGGTGTGATAATAAGGCAGTAATAGAGGCCACTGTCTCCCCACATCAACTTCCCAATTTGCAGGTCTGCATCTGGAAGGCAAAAAAGAAAAGTCAGGTTTTCCCTCCAACACTTACAGGAAGAATGCACTGGATCCATCTCTGTGCCCCAAATCCATTTCATTTCCTTTCTAAGAAGAAGGTTTAACCTCATCCAGAATATCACAGTTTTCAGGAAAAAACAACAGGTCAGGACTTCTGGCTGTAGCTGGGAAAACAGACAATGCTGCAGAGGCAGCTCACCCTGCAAGTGCCAAGAGCACAAGGGGTCACTAATGTCTGTCTGTCCTTCCTGTCACCTAGGGCATGGGTCCCACACTATTCCTGTCATGAAAGAAGAGCTTAGACAGTGTCTCCTCACAGCACCTCAGCCATTTGTGAACAGGTTACACAGAGACAAAGGAAAACACTCCCTCTTGTGAGGCTGATCACATTCCCTCCACACCAACGAGTCTCCACTTCTGGCTAGGTGGTCTCCCTGGTCAATCAGACACTTTGTACTTTGGAGGGACAAGGTCGCTCACACAGCCTTCCAGACAAAAATGTTTAAGGACCCTGCCATCCCTCATCTCCACCCAACCTGACTTCACCCCACAGAAATCTCTTCCTTCCACTCTGCCCAAGGCTGTGTGAGTTCAGGTTCATGACAGGGTAAGTCTGTGGCTGAGCAAACATGAGGTGTAGGATAAGCTTGGTATTTCAGAACTAAGAAAACAGCAGTGGCATTTGCAAGGAAGAAAAACCTATTCTGCAGAGACTGAATTTGTATCTCTTGCTGCCACCCCTTTGCTAAGGAAAATCTATATACACAGCAATATGCAGAAGTCAGGAATAAAAAGCTTCCACTTCATGGAAGGGAAAAAAGGATACTGTTTTTGAAGACCTAGAGTTAATTTAAGGGAAGTGCCAAAGGAAATTATCTTTGGATCTAGGACTGGTTGGCTGAATCCTAAATGTCTGACATACAGACATCTCTTCCCACAGCCTTTTCTGAGGGAGTCAAGTGAACAATTTCTGCCAGACTCCAGTGTCCCAAAGTGCTGAGGGTCCATTCCAGCCCCCACTAAGCATCCCTGGGGTAGGAGAGTTACCATGGACAATGCTGACATCTCTTTCCTTGTAGAAGTCTCCTATGGTGATGGCAGATCCCTGCTTGGAGGCCACGACACGGACTGTCCTCCTGCTGTCCACACAGTCCAGGTAGGGATCCCAGTCCAGGTTCCTCTTGCTCATTGTTTGCAAACCAGAAGTCACCATTCCCAGAGCTTCTCCCATCCTGTCCTGGCAGTAGGATTTGTACCTCCACTGTACCACAGCTGGCTGGGTGGAAGAAGTAGAGAAATGGCAGCGAAGCAGAGCAGGCTGGAATAACATGGCCACCTTCTTCTTCTCAGGCACAGTGACCTGCAACCCTTCCACCTCAGCTAGAAGACAAAAACATGAGTATCATATGCCTTGGCACTGCTTGAAGAGGGAGCTACTGCATTTTATCCCAGCATTATTCTCCTCACATACATAAAACTGTCCATCTGTTTCAGGTGCTAGGGAGCAACACTCCTCAACGTATGTAAGCACGGATGCCGGCAGCAGAAATAAGTTTGCTTTTTCATAGCTTACAGTCACAAAGAAAAACACAGCATGATAGGGCTGAAGGCTCAAATTGTGTTCCTTATGCTATGGAAGCCCTAACAAAATGGTGTGATGATTCACAGCTTCTGGAGCAAGTTCAAACATAAGGAAGAGGTATTTTAGGGATGGCCATGCTCCACTTGTACAGCAGGTCAGCCAAGGGGCCAGATCCTGAATTCATGACAATCCCACTGCACAAGTCACCTCTCTCCCCATTTCAGTGGCACCACACCTCCTCTTTACAAGTCAGGCAACACACAGTGCCTGGACCAGCACATTCTGCACTGGTGCCCAGCTAGTGCTGCCTGCTCTGCCAAACTCCAGAGATGCACAAAGGAGCGGATCACACAGCTCTTCCCAGGGCTGGCAAGAACCACTGAGACAAACTGCTCCATGTGGGAGGTGTGGAGAAAAAGGGCCCAAATCCTGAAGTTTTCCCAGGGAGGAGAGGGATCTCAACATGTAATGTTTATCTAGCAGCTGACAAGGGAGCTGCAGCCTGGACCTGATGCATCAAGGCCCCAGAGAAGATGCAGGGGACTGCTGTTAGACCCTTGTGCAGCTGAGGGAGAATCAGTGAGCAATGTCAGCCTTCTAGAGAGTGAGGCACTCCATCCACCCACAGGGATATGGCCAAAACTCCCCCATGAGCCCTTTGTGGCTTCCCTCCTTGTGCTGCAGGCAGCGATGTCTGGGAGCACTCACACAACACCAGGAAAAGGGAATCAGGTTCAGTATGGAAAATGTTGGTGATACCACACCCCTCACCCAGAGCAGGTGGAAAAGAAGTAATACACAGGGAAACAGGGAAAAATAAGAAAAACAAGGAAACATTCAAGACAACAAAGCAGAAGAGAAAGTCTACACAACATCTGCAGAAGGGACTGGTGGACTTGGGGAAGCTTAGTGAGCAATAAAAACACTGAGGACAAAGAAAGACTTCCTGATATCAATAAGCAGAAGAAAAGGGAAAATGCAAGAAAGAAGAAAAAAGAGTAAAGATAAAGTATCAGGGCAAATATAGGAAGCAGAATGATGAGCAAGATGACAATCAGGAAGCTCATATTCAGTTGGAAGAAGCTGGAGAAGGTGTCTCAGCCCAGGTCAAAATAAGTACAAAGGGCTGCAGTCAGGTTGCAGGAGATTCAGAAATGATGTAGAGAAGAGAGGAAATGGAGTCAGCAAAAATAACCCACCCACTCCAGAACGCAGAGATGAAAAGGAGATGGAAATTGGCAAAAGAAAGTGAAATGACAGGAGATATCTTTAGATGGGGAGGGGGGGAAGGCACAGACTAAAGCACTGGAGCTTGAAGCAGACAGAGAGCAATAAATGCATCAACTGTATAACAGCAGGCATGAAGAGACAAGGTCAAGCTGGAGACAGCTGCAGACCTGAAAAGCAAGAGTGAGCAGAGACTGCATGATCAGGATTCAGAACCAAAGGGAAGTGAAGAGGCTGATAAAACAGTGAATATTAAATTCAACAAGTTATCACTGTCTGCAGTGATACACTGTCTGCAGTGAACTGCAGAGCACAATGAAGTCTATAAATCCCAGCTGGAAATGGAAAACACAGCATGGACAGAACCCAGGGGAAAGCTAATTGCAGAGAGGCAAGGTGGTCACTGCTACTAACAGAGTTTTACTAATCTAGACAGGGTTTGACCTGGCACTTGCACAGAAATGCTGTGTTAGTTATGCACATAATGAATGCAGGACACCATGCACATTGTGCTTGTGCCATGTGGAAGTTGCACAGCAGGTTATCAGTTTTGCCAGAAGTGCCTGGACCCAAATCCAAACACTGATGTGGCTGCTCTCCAGAGTACCACCAAGCACAGCTGAGGTCTCCCACAGGACAGGCAGGGAATGAGGCAGCTCCTGCACTTTCCTGAGACACAGGCAGAGAGATTATTCAGGAAGGCGCAGCTGGGACATTTCTGCCAGGCTTCCTTTACCCAGGGACCATGTGGCACCAAGGGAACGCCAGCACTTGCTTCTCAAGGTGAACCAAGTGGTGATGCCCAATCCTCTCCAGAGATTCATACTTTCTGGGTTGCATCTGAGTGCAAGAAACATGAAGAACACCTTGAAAGCCCAATGGGTCCATGTCAGGCCAGTGCCTGGCAGCTCCAGGACCCCTCAGAGTGTGAGGCCACAGCCAGGATGTGGCATGAGCTGATCAAGTGACTCATCACGTTACCTCAGCTTCAGGCATAAAACAGTGACACACTGAATATTTAAATCTTTCCCTTGTGAACCAAGTACACTGCTTGGAAAACACAGTGCCCTCAGCTAGCCATGCACCACAGCCCTCCTTCCCTGTTAATGAGATTAATGAGTTTGGCAAGCCAGAGACTGCTTTAATAAATGATTAGCTGAGCTTTAGCAAATTCTCATCTGACTAACTTTCCCCACCCTACCCCCATGTGAATGTCTATATCAAGAAAAGAAAAGCAGCTTTTGGGAAAATACAGAAATTCTTTTTCTACCAAAAAGTATTTTGGAGATGTGCAGAAAATTATCTGGCACGTTCTACATCCTACCCCAAGCTCTTTATTAACTTCTTAAGTATTATTTTCAGATTCCGTCCAGGAATAGCATTTAAGAGCAACAGAGTGCCTCAGATTGGGAGAGTGGAGCAGAGAAAACTTTAGATCTATTTAAGTCAAATTATATATAATTACATATGGCTGAATTGGGAAATTATACACCTGTTATTTCCTCTGCCAAAAAAGAATTACTGGAATTGATTCGTGCAGTATGTCACTGCTGTAAGAGTGTCCACCCTAAAGGCCACCAGGATGTTTGACTGCCTGAAGACAAGATGGTGGCTTTACACTGATCAGTTATGTCCAGGCATGGGAATTACAGGACTTCCTCACCTCCAAGAAGAAACTGCTGACCTCAAAATGCAGTGTAGCCAAGACAAGAAAAGCCTCAGATGTATCAGAGGGAAGAATTCCGAGTTGTTAACAGAGCAGAGAAAAAAAAGAGTGAAATATGTGAAAAATCATGAGAAGCTTAGTGACAGCACCATGGTATCTCTGTCTAGTTTAATACAACTAGGACTAAAAAGAAACTGAATTGTGTTGTGCTATGTTTTGACTGATGCAGACAGAGCAAAATTAGCCTTTACTTCAAAGTCATGATGGAAATGCAATTCCTGCACTCTAGAGAAGGAACCTGTTCATTGTGAATTTCACAATGTTTCAAGTTCGACAAGAATAAAATCCAGCTCCTGGGAATCTCATGACTACATGACTGTTCTCTTTCCTCTCTTCTTGCTCTCCTAAACCCAAAGAAAAAGGTCTGAAAATATTAATCAATTGCATCTTATAAACACAGTTATCCTTTCTCTTAGAAAATAAAAAGAATCCATGATTTTGTGTGTCTGTACAAATATATACACACACACAGACTCCCGGAGAAAGAGCTTAAAAATAATCACACTTCCGAAATATAATTGTATGGGGTTTGTCTGTTTGAATTGGCAGTGTGCATTTGTCTCCTTGCTCTGATTCCTTCCCTGAACTATCCTCAGATTATGCATTCAAACTATGCAATCAACACTCCACACAAGCTACCACTAATACATTTCACTGGTGATTAAAGAAAATTCCAGGAAGCGATTACAGAGGGGATATTTGTAAGGGCGGGTTTGAGCCTGGTGAGCCTGATCTTCCTAAGCCACTTCCCCGAGCAAGAGAGACAGCAATTGAGAGGTGATAACTGAGGCTTCTGCTTTGCCATTGACCTCCAGAGAAGCCTATGCCTCCCCGAGATGAAACGAGCCCCAGGAAGATTTAACTTCACTACACAGCCTCTAGGAATAGCATCACAGAATGGCTTGGGTTGGACGAGACCTTAAATATCACGTGGTTAGAATAAAATTGATCTGAAGCACTAAATCCTGGAAGTAATGGCAAGGCCAAATTCTGTGGTTCAGTGGAACATGTCTCAGGCTGCATCCTTCTGGAGCACACCAGACTGGAGTCCAAGAGAAGGAAGGCAGCACACATTATTCTTCAGGTCACATGGGTCTCCCTATCTGTTCGTGCATCTCATCTCTTTCTTTGCAATTATTTGGCTCATGCTACTGCTTGTCTGAGGTAGTACAGCTGATTCTATGAAACTACAAAAATTTCAAATTTTCATGTACCTTTATTGACAGGAGTGGCAGCTGTGCACACAGCAGAATGGAAATCACTGGGTCCTGAACCAGGCACCTCAGAAAAGCTATTCCTAGACTTTAACCTCAGGGCTTTGGCAGAAAAGCATCCATTGCCTGGTAAGAGACAGTGCCCTTAGGGTAGCTTATACCACATCCCAAATAAAATTAACTGTTGGGCAAAAGTATCGTCGGTTTTGGCACCTCGGATACTCTGCATCATTTCAAAGTGCTCTCTCCCCCACTGCTGAATACTGGCACACCATTTATACTTTCATATGTGGATCAAGCTTGAATCAGGAAGGGCAAGATCTGGGCTTTGAGACCAGAAAGTCAGAAATTACAAAGAGATGCCTAAACAGATGAATGGAGAGCCAGTGGGATCACTGAGATTGTATTGTACAGGTTCTGGCCTACTCATGTTGGACTAAATCCAATCCATGCAATTTATCAGCAAAAGCCATCACCATCAGACTGTGTCCAGTGCTTATGGGAAATTAATTGGATGTCTTGGTCTGGTTCCTATCAGACTTGTGTTCTCAGCAACGTGACCACTAATTGTCAACTTTTTTTGGAAGCAAGAAACCAATGCCTGAACAAGTCAGCTGCAGCTGAGGTGAAAGCATGGCTCTGTATTCAACAGCTCCACAGCAAACCAAGAATTTCAGCTCTCCAGCTACTTAACCTGGAAAGGGGAAAACCCAAAGCAGCTGCAGAAGAGCGTGGCCTTGCACAGGCAGCACTCACAGCAGAGCCCCCCCAACACAAAAGCACTCCATGTAGGACAGCCCAGGCTGTGCAGAATGACTGCAGCAGGCATTGGACTATTCCTTGCCCTTCCCCATTCTCTGTGGTGCTCTCCCCAGGCACCCCCTGCCCCTCACTTCACTCTCTTCATCAGCTTCCCTGTGCTCCTTACACTCCCGTACCACAGCCCCTTTCACACATTCACAAAAGTTACCCTGGATGCTTTCAGGTGAATTATCTCTGCCCACCAGATCAAACCCACCCTGTCTTACTGCTGTCTGAAACCTGTTACAGTTGTCAGATGCCTCCTGATCTAGACCTGGTTCAGCATCCCAGAAATCATTCCCGGAATTATCACTCATCAGAAGCCTGAGAGCAAAGCAAAAGAAATGTGAAGAATCCCTCCAAGCCTTGTAACACCAAGCCATAATACCCGTCCTGGGGATGGCATTGGGATTTCCACTGCTGCCAGTCTCACTCAAGGTGACCTCACAGGAATACAAAGTAAGAAAAACACGAGATTTCTTCCCAGTTATCCTACACTGCTATGCTCTGTGAAGCCAGGCAAGGGAAGTCAGATGAACACTTTAAATCAGGACCAGTAAAAGAGTCCAACCATTTCCCTGCCTTCCCAAGAAGTGTGGTCAGCTGGCCAAAAACAGCAAAGACACAACTGTGCTTCAGCATGCCCCCTCTGCCTGCCCTCCTGAACTGTGACTGGGAAAGAACAGGTACAGCAACAGTATACAGGGACTGAGTGCTGAATTACTGGTGGAAAAGCACTTATCAGAGAGAAAAGATCTCATTTTAACATGGACAGTCTTCTAATTGTGATTTTTCCAAGCTTGGTCCAAGTTGTGAGGCAGGAAAAATTTGATCTGCTTGTTCTGTACTAAAACTGAAGTTCAGTAGCCAGCACAGCACTATGCTCTTGTTTCAAATGCATTAGAAATTACAGCATTAATAAGAAAATGGTAAACACAAGGGGAGGATTCATTCCAGAATCAAGCTGCACTTGGTAATTTACAAGAACAGGCTTTACACAGGGACTGAGGATGCTTGGCAAATTTCGTCTTCTTTTTATAGAATGAGAGCACAGTTCCACACATATCTTAACCCGTGTGACCTCACAGGAAGGAATAAAGAACGACCCGCTCTTCATCCATTTGCTGTTGTTATTAAAACACTCGCTTCAGGCACGTGGGAGAGCAGGACAGGAGGGGGAGAAGCCAAACCAAATCCATTGTGCCTCACACAGGATTTTCTGAAATTGCCCTAAGAACTCACAATGCGCAAAACCAAACAAAAGATAAACGCAAGAGGCAAAAATTAAAGACAAACAAAGCACAGAGAGGAATTGCTGCTGGGAGGAAAGGGACTGAAAGTGCTGATTAGAAATTTCTCAGCCCACCTCGAGGAGGGAGGAGGGGAGGGAAGGGAACGAGAGCCTTCTCTTTCTGGTCCCTTTTGTCTCCCTGCTTCTTCCCCATCCTGCACGCTGTCCCCTGGCCCCTCCACCTCCCAACCCCCACTCCTGTTCCCCAGAGTGGAGTGTACCACTCTGGCTGGATTAGGGCTCCTTACCTCGGCGCAGACCTTTCATTCCTTCGCACAGCCACTGGGGAGAGGAAAATCTCGAATCCATGTTTGCTAGCTAGCCCCCTCCTCCTTTTCTGTGCACACACACGCACACACTCACACACCTTTGCTTATTTGCCTTCTGTCGGCTGTGCAAAAGGACAGCAGCACCTGATTTATGGCTGGGCAGCAGCGGCGGGAGGCTGGAGGGGAGCAGGGAGCACGGAGTGCCTCCATCCCTCAGCACACAGCCATGGGTAACCTGTTGCCTGCCGGAAGCCTGTGCCTGCCAGCTCTCCACAGCACCAGCTGCACGCAGCCCTGTCTCCAAACCACAGGGCTGGAGGAAACTGGAAGGTCTCCCCACTGCAGCGGTACCTCTCTGCATTGACCCTGCATGCTCCAAACACTGCTCGCCGCCAGGAATCGCGAACTGCCCTCAGTGGAAGGAGAAAAGTGTCAACAGCCCGGTCTTTTAGCTTGATAAAAAAAGTCCTGATTAGCCTGACATGTGCAGATAAAGAAGCTCTTCAGAAAGAGGGAGGAATGTAATGTCATGGGTGCTTGGAGGCTATTTATCAGCACACCACTGTGGCTAGTAGGAAAGGAGGGGCATTGTGGGTGCGCTGCCGCTCCGGACCAACTCAATGAAGCGGGATACATTTGGAAGCAGCCAAATGGCAGGGAAGGACGAAGGGAGAGAAGGGAGGGAGAATGAGCTGGAAGCTGCTGAAGCCCCAGATGAGGCCGTGAAACCCTGGAAGGGAGCAGTAGGCAGGCACCGGTGTTGAGGATGACTCAGAGTGAAAACGCAAGGAAAGGGGTGGGTGGCTGGTGGGAGAGAGGTGTTATGACTAAAAGCCGAATTTACTGCTTGTGAATCCTAAATCTGAATAGGAAGAGGGAAGAGGCTGAGGTCTTTTGTGGGATACACAGGTGACAGTGGGAAATATATGCCACTTAACCCAAGTGTGTCTGTTTTTCTTCTTTCATCCTGCCTGGCTAAGTCATCCTACTGCAGCTTTTCCTATATCCTGCTGCTCCTGCCTGTGCCTGGCTGCTGTACCGGCTCACCGGAGGCAGATCTTGCTCCTGACCTGACACGGCTTTCTCTTTCTCCCCGGCTGCCCCGCCGCTCTCACCCTGCTGTAACCCCTTCCCTCTTCTCGCTGCCCAGCTCTCAGACCCAGCCCCTTTTCAGCTCGCCCCCCCTGCCCTCTCCCCATCACTGAGCCCTCTCTGCTCGCCTCTCCGGCTCCCTCCCCCTGCCCTGGGGGTGACTTGCCCAACCTTTAGGGGAGGCGAGCGGCGGGCTGGGCTGGGGGGCAACCGGGCTGACAAAGGCCTGGGTGAAGCTGCACCGTCACCGGGAAGGCCCCCCTGGAATTCTGCCCCTCTGGAAGCAGAGGCAGGGCAGCCCCCTCCTCTCACACCTCTGTTTGGACGGCGTGTGCGGTCAGGACACGGGGTGAAGGAGAAGTTCCTGCAATTGTTCCCAGCCGGGGGTTCGTCGCCATCCCTCTCGCCAAGGACACTCCGACACCCCCGGGCCGGCCGCCCCTTCCCCGGGACGGGCGCGCTCCCTCCGAGCGCCGCCGGGCCGCTGAGGGAAGGGAAGCGCCGAGGGCCGCCCGGAGCTGCCCCGAGCCCCGGCAGGCACCGGCTGCCCCCCGTTCCCAATCCTCTCCGCCAAGTCCTCGCAAACTGCACCGCGGGACGCCCCCGAGCAGCTCCCGGCCTCACGCCGGCTCCCTCAGGAGCATCTCCCCAAACGCCCCCTCCCCAGTTTTCCCCCTCAGGAAAGCAGCGGAGCCCGGCGGGCTGGGCACGGCGCGGGGACGTCGGGGCCAGCCGCGCCTCTGCCCGCGGCCCTACCTGCGATCCACAGGAGGACGATCCATCCCAGGACGTGCCCATCCATGTTCCCAGTGGTCCCGGCGGCGGCGGGAGAGGCGCGGGGGCGGCCCCGCTCGGGCAGCGCCTCCCCGCAGAGCCGGCCGGGCTGGCGGGGCGGGCGCGCCGTGCGGCTCCGCTCGGCTCGGCTCGGCTCCGCTCCGCTCCTCCCCCGGGCCGGCTCCCCGGGGCCGCCCCCGCCGCTGTCCGGGCTCAGAGGGGAGGGGGACGCGGCTGCCCGAAACTGCCTCTCTTCCCGCCCTCCCTCCCTCCGGCAAAGGCGCGTTTCGGTTGCCTGGTGCCGCTCCTCAGCCTACGGGCACGTCCCTCTGCAAGTGCTGCAGCCCCCAGGCATCCCCGCTGCTCCTGTAACTTCTCCAGTGAGCGCTGGAAAACGTCCCCCCGCCCATCATCTGTCCTCCCCAAATTAGCCAAGTGTATACCTGGGGAAATGAGCGTAGACGGTTCCTGTTTTAGATTTCCCTGGGGTTTCCGCTTCCAGCATGGGCACGGCAGCTAATTATCGTAATTTTAGATAAAGGAGTATCATTATAAATGAGGAGGTGTTCTGTCTGTTAACAATGGGCAGCCGAGTTGCGGGGTGGTAAGTTTTCCTGGTAATATGATACTGAAAGGTGATGAGAATTTTTTTGTTTGTTTGTTTTTGGTTTGTTGTGGGGCTTTTTTTTTTTTTTTTTTTTTTTTTTTGTGAGAAAGGGGTCACAAACAGCCTTAAATGACATTTTAGAATATGGATGTTGCTCAGAAATTAAATGGTCCTGGCCGCAGCAAACCCACGTGGATACACATTAACTGTACTTAAAACTTTTAAAGTTTCTGTGAAAACTTAATAAGTCAGTGGAATTATTCATGGGCCTAAATAGCTGGCTAAAATAGCATCACGCTTTCTTTTGTGGCTCAGCACCGGCGAGAAGCACAGAGTGCAAAATGGCACTCCCCATTCACAGCAGCCAGCACGGCTTCCCTTTGAGTGTTGTTCATCCTCAGGCACTTTTCTTACGGGGTTTGGCTGGTGTTTGAACCAAAGCTGGGATGCTGCAGGCACCAGTGATCCGCATGAGAGATGGGACGAGTCTCCAACTTCGTCTCATCTGGAATCTGCCAAAAAAACAAAAACTATTCTGATTTTTCTAAAGCAAAGTGCTTGGTGTGTCCTGCTGCTGAAGGCTCAGGGACGCCTGCAGTAAATCTGAACAAGTTGTTTACATTCTAGCAGGTGTTCTCCGGTTGCTTGTAGATTTCTCATCATTTCGCCTTTCAGACTGAACTTCTCTGCAGGCAAGATAAGCTCTTCTTTAAAAGTGCAAATAAAAAAAAGATCAATAATTTCTGAAGGAAAACCAAACCAGCATGTTTGCTGTGATAAAAAATGTGTTGAAACATCTTTGGTTGTTTTCAGACAGGAGTAGTCCCTCTGTTAGTACAGTTAAAATGGAATTGAACAAGGAGACAATCCTTAGGCAGTTGCTCTGGTTTTAAGTGTTTTATTTGGAGCTATTCAATGCTATTTAAAAATATTTTTTCACATGGAAGTTTATTTTTATTCAGCATTGCTTTAAAAAAACAATACACACCCACCCCAATCAGTGTCCTGATGTTCCTCTGATCTGATACGTTACGAATTTAACTGTTTTGCAGTACTAGCTAAAAGTTACTATTTAGAAGTTCCTGTTACACTAAATAATGTATATATGTGCAGCAGTGCTGTTCTCCTTCAGCACACTGATCTGACACTCCATTGCCTTCCTGCATACTCGCAGGTGGAAGACAAAGTAGAAACTCTAAATAGAGAGTTTCTAAATAGGGGCACAAATTCAGCCTCCAGCAACGTGGGGCTGCAGAAAATTCTGATGGAACTTTGCATCACCACTGTTACCTATCTATAGGGTATAATCCATGAAAGTTTGTATGGGTTGAAATAAGACTCCTAAAAGGTAAATGCAAAGCTATTTTTCTCTCCTTCCCCTAACCGTTTTTCCTGAAAACCTTCCAAAATTTGAAGTGAAATCCCGGTTCCTTGCCTTTTTGTAACTTAGCTGGCCAGGATTCTGATCCAGAGTTTCCTGAGACAATGCTGATGTTGATATTATCTCATCTGTTTAACACTGGGAGCAGTACAATCCCTTATGCGTCACTATTGTTAGCTACCAGTGGGGTTTTTTGTTAGTTGTTATTTTTTAATCTACTCCAGCTTTTGCAAATAAATTTGGCATGCATCACTTTAGCTAAACTTTTGACTCACGACAAAGGAAGGAAAGATTTTCAATAGAAGGAAGCACCATTGTTTCACATGTAACGTTGGATTTATATCTGCTTTGAAATTCTCATAAACTTACTGTATGGTCCTTTCTCACTTAATTTTAGCTGTCATTTGTATACATCCACCTAAGATGGATGCCCAGGCCCTGAATTGACGTTCCAGATCTCTGTAGACCTTTGATCTCCTGATTGCAACATCCGAGCTGGCTTAATAGTTAATGTTGGGATGTTGTCTTTCCTTTTAGCCCAAGACAGAAAGCTGCATGACTGCAGTTAGCCCCACTTCACCTTCAAACGGTGGGGAAATTCCTGTGCAATTAGCCAGATGGCTCCAAGCCACAGCCCAGCAGGGATTCTGTCCTGTAAAAACAACACACTGGACTTAAACCTTCATCTCCCTCAGTCACTAGATAACCTTATGAGCAAATTCCCGGTGTTTGCCCTGCGTAATTTAGTCCCCGGCAGAATCGGAGGAATACCACACTGCAACCCTGTTTGATTTCGCTGCTGACTCCACCTGAGGGAGTTCTCTAAGCCGTGGGATCATGAACAAATTCAGCCGAACAATGGGGAAACAAACAAACTAATTTTTACTCATGCTGTAGCAGCTGCTGGCTCTTTTATCTCCGTGCCAAGTACTTCATTCCTCCCTCCCTCCCTCCTCTCATCTTCCAGTACCAATCTTTTGTGGTCGCTTCCTCTGCTGATAAGCAGAGTCAGCTTTTTAAGCTACCACCACCACGTGGAGCGATTTACACCAGCACCTCAGTCAGCATGACCCATCTCGGCAGCATCCCTGCATGATGATTTTCATGCCGTTCAGCCCCCTGGATTTCCCTGGCAGAAATTTCCATAGAAACAGTGATTCCAACAGCTTTTCTGGGATGCCATGCTAGACTCAGCCATTAGACACTGCTCTCTTGATTTAGTACTGGGATCAGCACGTCGCAGAACTGACGGGGTGACACACCATCAGTTCATAGCGTTCAGTGACTCTCTTCAGATAGCTACAAAGTAAAACTTTTCCTCGTTTGCCGCGTTACACTGGAATCTCCTATTAATCCTTGATAGCTTCTCAGCAAGACACTGTGGAAATATATTCACTCTCTGTGTTGTTTTTTATCCAAGCTGCCTGGTTTCATTTGATAGCACAATAATACAGAGCTTTTACATCCCATTAACATCAGGAGTGAGTGATATGTATATATAAACTGCTACTGTTTCTTAATCATGATGTTTGTACCAAGAAATGCTTCGAATATTTAATGGAGAAATTTGGCTTTCTCACTACAATGAACCTTCAAGTCTGTAATATAAATTCAGCATTAGGAAGAGCCCAAGAGAACAGCATTCTCCTATAGTATTTACTCCTCTGGATAAATTTCCTATGCTGCTCCTGACTCATTTTTAGACACCAAAAATCACAGCATGCCTTTGCTACACTTACAGAGTGAACCTGAAATTTTCATTTAAAACACTAATGGCATGTCAGCAATAATGTTTTGTGAAGTTATCACATAGGTAAATGATTACAAGTGAATCATCCCAGCTTGCCATCTTTTATGTGTCATTACAGGCAAAAATACACAATGGGACAAACTCTGCTTGCATATCTACAGATAACCTAGGAGGTAACAAGCTGCTAAATCCTCTGCAGTTTTGGCTGCAGAGGAACTGTGGGCAGCACAAATACCTCCAAGGACTTTGAGTTCACAACCTGGACTTTTGTGATTGTTCAATCCAGCTTTCCCAAAATAGGCCACATCACTTCACCACACTACATCAATTAGTCTGAACTACAGCCTGTATGTTACAAAAACGAATCACAGATTACTTTGGGTAGGAAGGGACCTCACCCTGCCCCAAACTGAATCTAACTTCACTTTCTAGTACTGCCAAGTCAGAGGGCAAGGCATCCTTAAGGCACTTCTGAAGAGGTAATGGCAGGCTGTGATTAAAGCATCCTGAACATCCTCTCTGGAAGTTCAACAGACTGTTCGTTTGTTTTATTCCTGAGCTAACACCAGAACTGGAGAGAGCATCCCAGGCCCAGTTGCTAAAAGCATGAAAGCAGAAGTATTACAGCATCATCATCCCTGCTCAATATTTGTTTATCCATCCAGGGATGATGCTGTTACTCCTTTTGATGTAGCATCACTTAAAAAGCTCCTCTTTGGTCAATATTCCACTCTATCACCTACATTATTAAGTATTCCTTCAATCTTTGTATTTTTTGCAAGTAACTGTGATGACTACATGTTTTGTTGAAAGCTACCAACAAGTATTTAGTAGTATGCAGCCAAGAAACAACCTAAGAAAGACGTTAATAAGAAGTGTGATTACAATTCCTCATTTAAAATTACATTTTGAGACACCTTAAGATAATGCTTTAACCAGGGACTGGATGGTCTTTGTATCATAAATCTGTATCCTTAATTCAGTGTTGTGTGGTCGAGTCACATGCTTCACATGTCTGAATGCATTACCTTTAGTAACAACACTTAATATCTTTTTGATGCAATTACAAACCAATGTGACAGAATGTATTTGCTGCTAACCCATGTTGATTGGCATTAATTACATTACTTTTCCTTAATTCATTATTGAAGCAAATCCTGTATCAGTGATTCTATTATTTTGCCTGGGATCTCTGTGAGTCTAACAGGTCTGTAATTACTCAGGTCATCCTACTTAGAGCCAGATCCAAATCAAGACTTTGGGAAATTTTTGGTACCTAACATTTAGAACTCAAATCTAAAAAGAAACCTCATTCAGCAGCAGATTGAGACTGAAAGCACACATGTCCTGTCAAAGTTGCCTAAAGGCTT